ATACTTATCAAGTGAATCAGATAATATTATTGAAACCTTTGAAGAAGATACATATTATATTATTGGTGGCTTGGTTGATCATAATCAGCATAAGGTATGATATTTCAAAACTTAATTTTGAGTGGGAGTGATTATTGAGCACACAGCATGCCAGTATGCAGGATTAAGTCTAGTTAAGATCCTATCCTTCAAGTACCAATTTATTTAGAAGCCAAAATACCTAGTCTTTATTTATTTATTTTTTTTTTATATATATATATATATATATATATATATATATATATATATATATATATATATATATATATATATATATATATATATATATCATCTGTATATATATAGTCACATATGCACAGAATTATATACTTAGCTGCTGGCCCGATTTTGATAAAACGTTTGTGTGTGTGATTAATATGATTCGAGAATGATTTAGATTCACAAATAGACTCAATAGGTGGCGCTATTGTAGAGATCCAGAAATCACATGGGCAAAGCCGGGGCAGACAAAGATTTAAATAGTTAGATGCGCCCTTACTGTAGTATGACCACTCCGAAATGTGTTTAATCTCAAATGAGTGAGCTCACTCATTTGCAATCAGTGCTCATTTGTGCGCGGTGACAGCCAGATGTTGCATATTAGAACATGCTGATTTCACAAAAAAAAAACTCAGAATGCCATCATATGCCTTTCGAAATTGCAATAATAATTCTAAAAACACAAATAAAGCCCAAGGTGTAATGTTTCACTAATAAGTATATATATTTTATTAAATATTGAATTTATTTTATTCCGATGTCAGAAAATACCACAAAATAAAAATGGGCAAATGGTAACTGTGCAACAGAGAAAGTAGTATACACAATTTCCTTAAGATAATAAAAGATGACAATATTGTCTCAGTACTCTTCTAATAACCAATTTAGTTAGATACTCAACATGTACCAAGGAAGCAGTTTACAAAGGGATCATCTATAAATAGACATAAAGAGATGCATATGCAGTGGTAGACAGAGATAGAAGTATACACAATTTCCGTAAGATAATAAGAGATGACACTATTGTCTCCGTACTCTTCTAGTAAACAATTTAGTGTGCGTATGTCAGCATCTTGCAAACGCACACATTCAAAAATAAGGCAACAGTTTTTCAAGGTGAAGGCATATCTAACTATTTAAATCTTTGGAGGCAGATTGCTAGTTATAGATAGCTACATCTTCATCTCCTAAAACCTCATTGGTATATAACAACTTTTGGCAATGAGATCCAGATAATTAAATGATGAACATCAAAAGGCATGAAGTTGTATTAATTTACCTCATACTAGCATTCATGTCACACTGTGAAAAAACATACCCATGCCGATGGTATGAGGAACTATTGGTGTGTAAATAGGCTACTGCTGAAAAGAGGTATCCCATAATAGGAAGGATTTTCCGTAAACATTGTGTTGAACAGGTGGATTAGTGATTGGAGTAAAGACATCTAAAATTTTTGACATTGTATAAATTTGTTATATGAATGTCTTCATTGAATGCAGGCCATATTAATAAAAGATGGTGTCATTTCATAGTCTGTAAATAAAAATTCCACTGCTGAGCATAAGCCATTGATTGCCACATAGAGAGATATTTGCCATAGTTGCCACACTTGGCAATCACAGTATTTTTATTTATCAGGATGGCGCTATGGCCCATCTCCTGGTTTGTTTACCTTTGTTGCCTCTTTAAACATCAGGACAATATGGGCTTATGGATATTCTCACATTGCCACTACATGGTCATTACCAATATCTATCTATTATGTATAAAAATGAATGTTTATTTGTTTGTCCCATATGCATTCTTAGATCATTCATCCAAATGTGAAGAAACAGGGGTGAACTGTGTGCACGCCCACAAGTATTAATTACAAAGAAGCATTGAATTCATGCAAGTCACTACTAGTATGTAAATAAATTTATCATAATTCTTTATTCTGTATCTCTTGCATTTATCATGTGACCAGTGTTGAAGGAAAACATTGTGGGGAAACCTACTTGTCTGACAAGAAAAAGAATATTTCGAAGATATGTGAAGTTCACCAACACGCATTGGAGCCGCACTGCAGACATTTTCTTGCCCTAAAACCCTTTTAGAAATGAGAAGAGGCCTGTGCCCAGCAGTGGGACGCACATAGTCTCTAACTTTATCTCGTGCCAATATGTATAGTGTCTGGACGAAATCCTTTGCTTTTGGGTAGGAATAAGAATGCATTTTCAGTAAAAACAATTTATTTTCCAGGGACTTTGCCACAAAATTGCTGTAGAACAGGGCATAAGACATTGTCAGTTACCTTTAAATAAATATGTCAATATGAAAACAAGGAAGGTTTTAACAATTGACCATGGTAAGGTCTTTTATTAATATACTGTTTAGAGATAACTAAAAAAATAAACTAAACAAAGTTTTTAACTAACATACAATTTTTAAAGAAAAATAATAGAATAAATAATTTGAATAACATTTAATTGAATTTATAATTAGATATATAGAAATATAACATTGGAAATATAAAAATAGATTGATAATTACAAACTCAGTTTGAATTAATACTTTCACTTAGTTGGTATTTGTATTTTTGTTATTGCTATACCTTTCAACATAAGTATATAAAATTTAACTAAAAAATAAATTTAAAAACTAGTTAATGAAATAATAATAGGTTAAGATGAAAGCAGTGTGCACCACAACCTATATCATATACTATTTGTTTTCTTCTTGATTGATTTTACCATGATATTTGCTTTAAATAAAATTGTACATTTTGTTATTACAGTGTTCGAGATTGTACTTAGAGTATGTGAAGGTGTTTCTTGGCAAGACACTCTTTTAAAAGTATTACCACTAAGAAAAGGAGCACATGTTTGCCAAAGTTTATGTGATTCAACATCAAGTGAAGATATTTCTAATCAAAGTACAAATGGTACATGACAAGTTTTTATATCTTTGCAATGGTTTTGTTGTATTTATTTGTTACTTAACTATTAAAACTTAAGAAATGTACAAACAAGTTGAATATTGAAAATACAGTCTAATTATACTTATATCTTTTTAATACTGTTTAATGATTTCCGGAAAAACCAAAATAATTTACCTTTATAATATATAACATAAGTGACTAGTAATTATTAATTAGTAATTATACTATACAATATATTTATTAAAATTAACATTTGCGTATTTACTGGTTTAGCGGTATACTAACATATATTAAAAAGCTGAATGTGCAGCTATTATTAATTGGTGAAGGTAAAAGGTGAAGCTATTATTAATAATTAAAAACCTGAAGGTACTCCAGGTTAACATTGACATCGGGACGTCAGTCATCCGTCAGTCCCCCATGACTATGAGTGCTGGAAAGCACCCTAAATGTCCCAAATTAAGAATCATTTAAATTAAACGCGATAAAATCCGTAAAAGTAGTTTTAATCAATGTGTAGTGTTTGTGTAAATATAAAATCATTATGTATATATACCTTGTTTGAAAATATACAATATGTAACATAATTAACGCACACCCTCAGACACCCCAATTAGTATATTATGTTATAATCATAATACATACACTGAATTTTTAGTTAAAGATATATTTATGCACTGATTATTTATCAAATTAGTTATACTAATTCCAAAAGAATGTTGTGGTCACAGTACAAATCCACGAACGCAAAGACTTTAATTTTGCTTGAAATAAAGTTCATTTTTCTTTATTTTCATTGAATGACAGAGTTAGTAATAATACAAATAAAACTGCACTCTTAAAAGTCTTATTGCCTTAAGTTACAGTCCATTTTAGTTTGTTCTTGTTATTTTTGGGATAAAAAATTACCTATATTAAAAATGATAGGAATCGATTCAGTAAACGATTCTGAACTAACTACTTTCTCAAAGTGCGTTAATTATGTTACATGTTGTATAATACATTAATTAAGCATTACATAATGATAGCTAATAACTGTTACAGTGACATTAAAATTAATTGCAAGAGATGCAAAAGAGAGGAGGAAGAAAACTGAGGAATTCACTTGTCCCAGCCCTAACCTACTAGTGTCCGATATAACCTTTATGTGTTAGGATTAAAAGTCGCAGTGAAAAATTAAGTACATGTCAACCCAAATCTAAACAACTCTTGTTTTTAAAGGGTTAATTTGAAAGGGAAAATTCCAAAAATTATTAAAATACATTGAGATATTTTAAGCGAAAATTCTATAACAATACTTATTTTTACCACACACAAAACCTACAGTGAAAACATCTCGACAGACCGAGGCGGATATTTGTGGCGGAATACTGGTAATTTAGAAACTCATCATTAAAGCACCATTCATCGATTAAAGCACCTTGAACTCCACTGGTGAATATAGGCCTCCATCATAGATAGTACCTTAGAGAAGACATTTGCCATAGTTTTCGTGCTCCGCAGGCTGGTTGGTTACCTCAAATTAATTTTCTCTCTGTTATCTCTTATGAAACTCACGGGATCACAATTTTCTTACGTCACCTACTACACGGAAACATTACATTACTATCACAGATTACGTTTGCAGTAAATACACTATATAAATGGGGTTTGAAATATTAAACAAAGGAAATAACGGCGAATACTATATGTATGTGTGTGCAATTTCTATGAAAATTGTAACTATCCTGTTTTTATGGAAGATAAGAAAGTACTTTTCTTTTCGGTTGTGACAAACGGAATGACTTGTCATCGGTTCAATTATATAAGGACCAGAATTTTTATGGACGCATATTAGTATAACTTATACTACTGCATATATGAACGTGAAATCGTGTAGAGTGAAATGTTGACGAATCATTAAATAAAATGAAAAGTCATGTAATTGGTTATATTTTATTTATTATTGAATAAAAATGGATTTTAACTTACATCATGAAACCAAACATAAGTACTTTCATATCAGCCAAATAAATAAGTGTTTCAAATACTAAGTTTTTTAAACTAGATTATATTTCTGATAAAATGGCAGAATTAAATTCGCAATTTTTTCAGGATCGTTTAAATGAACGTGATGAGTACCAGGTACGAAATGACAATCAAATTTAGGATTATTTTTTCTTATCAGTTCGCGCATTTCTACAGAAAACTCGTCTGATGCAAAAGGAGAGTCTAGACCTTTCACATATAAGGAAGGACAAGATAATCTCTTAACAAGGGCTTCTACAAACTTTTTGTCCTCCGGATTAAATAAAGTGTGCTTTAATCTTGAGTCTCTTGAAAAGTAATATTTATTAGGATCGCGACTCGATGGCTTCGTGCCTCTTTTCAGTAAATATTTAACACTCTCTAAGGCAACAGACTGCATCGTACCCATGTGCCAGATTTTTGTCATTTCTTCTATTGTGTAGGACGGCGGCTCGTCTTCCAAACGTGTTTGTGCAATTTGTATTTTTCGCAAGGTTTTCGGATATTTATCAACCACCAAATGTAAGTCATAATCGTCGGAAACGAGACTGTCAATTGCTATATAAAATGCTACTTCGTCGGGAAACAAACTGGCGAACCGTAGTCCTGCAATAGCTCCCATTGAATGGCATAGTAGTGAAACTTTATCCCATTTATAATATTCCCTTATGAAGAGAATTAAACGTACGAATTCCCATGGATAATACATCATACCTTAAATGAGAAATAATTAAATAAAATTTATTGCATTTTATGCATGATATTGCAATTTTTAGTAATAACATATGTTGCTGTACTGTTTCATCACCATCTGAATGCTTCTTCCAAGGAATGCCACATAGCACGGTCTTGAGTCACCTGCATCCATCGACTTTTTGCATCTTTTACCAGGTTGTCACTTCATCTATTGGGGGAGGGGAGGGAGGGGAGGAGCCTGTACTGCTGTACGGTTTAGAGAGAAGAATTTTTTTTATCGGGCGTTCAAATATCTGTCACGGTTAATGTCCAAAGAATTAATAAAAGAACTGTTATGTAGTAATGTCCGAAGTTTACCCGTTACTTTTTGGTTTTCCAAATAACTTCTAAGTAATATAAATATGTGTATAATATTTCGTATTTTTGACAAATTCTGACTTTACCAAAATCACTGGGTTAAAACCGAGGTTTACTAAGTACTTCTTTGAACATTACCCGTAACATATCCATTACTCCAGTACCTCTCCTTAAATAAAATGTCTTTTAATTGCAGTCAATAATTATACACTGTTGGAAAAGTCTCTGTCCAGTTTAGGGACAATTTGCTATAATCGTAGAATTGGCATTTGAGGCTGCTCTCCACCGCTAAATCTGCTCTGATTTTAAAGAGATGGTTATACTGCCATCTCTCGGAAGCTGTGAGATTTTGGAGACTTTTTTGGTATTTCTCATAGTCACGCATTGACATTTACGTCTACGACTACTACGACAGATGGACAGACCTCATTACGTCTAAATCTTAGAGTATGCAGTTGGAATCCTATGGTATGAATCTATAAAGATGTGCATTTTTATAGATTCATAGCGCAATGCCTAAACTATAGTGGCCTAAATGTAGTATTTTTGAATTTTCTTTCTGAGTGAATGACAGGGTGAAAAATTGTGTGATAAGAGAAGAGTGTGGTTTGCAAGATCATTTTGTGACCAGGATTACGAAAGGAATGCTTCGGTGGTTTGGTCATATGGAAAGAATGAATGAGGAAAGAGTGATAGCAAATTTATGTTGCAGAAGTGAACGGCAGAGTTGGAAAGGGACGTCCTAGGCGAAAGTTTATCGACCGAATTGGCGATATATTGAAAACGGGCCAAATTAGGAGTACCCTTAACCGACGAGCATGTATGCGTAGATATATGTATGTGAAGGAGGCGAAAGAGGTGTGTCAGGATCGAGCCAAATGGAAGTCTGTAGTCTTTGCCTACCCCTTTGGGTGACAGGCGTGAGTGTTTATGTATGTATGTAAATCACATTCAATTTGGGATAATTTCAAATAAAAGTAGGCCTTGTTTACTTGCATTTTCAAAAATTAATCCTATTAACATCTCCTTTAAAAAACGTGAGGTGTGACCACAAACCTAACATGTAAGTGGTAGGTAGTAGATTTTTAGGTCACAATGTTTCTACCTCTCGCTGGAGGCAGACTGTGTCTAAGAGCTGCCGCACGCTGGGCTACTAGTGGTCACCACAACAAGGCCACTAGTGGCCGCCACGAGTTACGGACGAGATTTTTCATACATTTTGTATACCATCGGCGAAAACCGAGCGTTCGAGTGGCCGTGTCCAAGCCACAAGCTGCGGGGGTCGCCCGCGCTCGCTGCTATGCTCTGATTGGTGGCCGCGTCTAATGGCCGCCACTAGTAGCTCAAGGCGCGGCCGGCCGTTAGGTTAAAAATATGTATTTAATAAAGTTTTAGGAAATATTTGTAATAATCTCTGGGAATAATTAATTGAATATATTGCAAATTAATCAGATCTCAAGATTATTTCCAGTGCTAACTTTTGTTGTAAATAGGTATACCTGGTGGAAACCAAGATGAATGTCCATGTCCTGGAAAATCAATAGCGAGAATGGGTCGCTTTTCATAAAGCAGTGGTGCTAGAGTGTCCCAAGTACCAGCATTATCCTGCCAACCGTGTAATGCCAAAATTGGTTGTTCTTGTTCATTTCCCCACAACTTTGCAGATATATGACCCCACTGAACTGGAATCTTTATTTCTTTTGCTATTCTCTGAAATAAGTGCATAATATTAAAAGGTAGAAAAAAAGATATAAACTAATAGGATGTAGATTATGTCAAAATAATCAATTTATCGTATGGAATACCAATTGTGCAAGTAGGTATTTTAAAGAAACAATAGAAATCGTAGGACTTTGGTAAAGACTTTCTAGGGATATGTATACTACTCGGTTGCATTAGAAGATAGTGAAGTGCCGATACATGGTGCGAATAGGTATTTTCAAAAATGCTATCTGTTTGATCTGTGCGATAAAGGGACTTGCAAGTCTTAAAGCATTTGTCTATTTTACCTTTTTGAAATATTGTTTCGGGCCATATCGTTTTCACCCCCCTCCCTAAACCTTTACGAAATAGACAATTTTGGTTTCATTTGATTCAGTACACCTAAATCTAAGTTTCTGGTTTTTTAAAAGTAATTCAAAGTGGTAGAGCCTTGCTACAACCCTTATGGTTGTAGCATGAATGGGTCGGCTCGTCCGGGGAAGGACCACGCTCTCACAGAATATCAGTGTAAAATAGCAAATTAATGCTGCTGTTTCGTATGGTGAGTGTAGAGAACCGGTGATCCTTTTTACTGGAATCGAGGCATTCCATCTTAGCCCTCAGGGGTGACAACGCATCTGCATTTTGATTCTTAATTGAAGTTAAATGTAGATGTCTATGGGCCACAGCATCCACTTACCATCAGGTGGACTGTGCGCTCTTTTGTCACCCTTATACTATAATAAAATAAAAACGCGCGAGGAAGTTTTGAATTAAAGATAAAAGATATTTTTACGTATATCGTACACAATATTAATTTAAAATAAAAAACGTATGTACCCAGTTTTTCATTATATCCACAACACTTCCAAAAAATTATATATAGTGCGTTGGGGTAATACCGGACGATTTTTGACTAGTTAAAAGAGTCTGGCAAAAACTTTATTTTCTCGACATCCATATAAGTACGTCAGATTTCTACAACATGGTGCAAATCTTTAATGGTTAAACGTAGTTTAGTTATGAGAAACTTTTACTTTTGTAAACTCAACGGTTTCTGCTTAAAACGTGTGCGAAGACAAGACATAATTTTTTATATGCATGCTGAAGAATTGGCCATCAAGGGGAAGACCGGACGTCGCTAAAAATCGCAAATAAAAGTGATAGGGAAAGACCGGATGGACGAAAAAAATACATAAATTACCTTGTTTTATAAAATGCCACGCCCGGAGCGACTGGCTGGAACTTGGGGTCGGGGCAGAATAAAATAGCGTCTTGTACCATATTGCTAGCTTTTAAATATATAGCATAATTTATCGAAAAATTAGATTTTACCGTCTTACCGCAACACCGATCTTACCCCAACGCACTTATAAAAATTAGACAGTTTATGATCGGAAAAACGTTATTGATTTTTGTATGAAAATTTACAAACAATTGGGTTGCTAACGTAAATATAGTATGTCTATGGAAGAAAAATAATATAGTACGAAAAATACCATATTTTTATTCTGAAACTGTCGCTTTGTTATATTAACTGTGATTGGAAGCCTGGAACAAGTACTTATATTTTATGGAAAGAATTTTATCCATCTTGAATGTAAAATTGAAAGAAGAAATAAAATGAGCATGTTTTAATTTAATTAAAAATTTATTTTAATAAGAATCTAAATTGCTCAGACTCCTATAATTATTTTAAAAGTAAGTTAGAAGGTAAGGTGGTTAGATTATGGCCAAAGTAAAGAGCAATAACAAATATATATGGAAAAATACATTAATATACAGACAAAGTATAAAAATAAAAATGTATTTTTTTCGCCGGAGTTTCTTAAAAGTACTATATTTTTGCATTCGTTTTGGAAAAAATACCATATTTGTTCAAAAAAAAGGTGACAACCCTAAGCAAAATCCCCTTAAATGTATAATTTAGCAAGAAGTTAAATTTGTCATTTCGTTAAGTAAGCGCAAAGGCTAAGGTCGCGCTTACTTTTTTAGGGGGATAATTTAAAAGAAAATATCTACTTATATTTTTTATTTAATTAAATTATTTATTATCAAAATTTTGATACTTACGTCATCAGTATGTAAATGCCTATGCTTACAATTTATTCGTAGAGGACTCGTTACGTTTTTATGGGTTATTAATACTAATCTTCTTATCATACTTTATTCACAAAATGATAACTTTGTATGGGTATTACTATTTTAATATTTGGAATCTGCTTTGGTCGATTTTAAAATATAAAAACACTAGCTAATTATATAATCAAGTTAACATTCTGTTACTGATATCTTCCTAACAATTGTAATCCACTATTGACATTCAATAATTTCACAAGTATGTTTATTAATTTCACAACAAACGCGGAATTATTGATCACGATTCATAACATGCCGACGACACGACGTTTTAACTAGAAAGATAACCTCACACTATTCTAAGGAACATAGTATTATTACTCGGTTTATATTGCCTTGTTAACTGTCAAGGTCTTTACACACGTGATAATAAATCGCAGATAGATTTCTAAATGATTCATGTTGTTCAATGAGCTAAACTTATCTACGAAAAAAATGCTAAAGATCTTAGAGTAATAATTATTACGTACGTAAAAATACGTAAAAATTATTAGATAATAAGAGCACTAACTATTTAAGTCACGATTGTGTTATGCACAGAACGCTATTACTACATGGTGATAAGGATATGAAACAAAGGTCGTATCTGGTTGTAAAAAAACAGCACACTGTTTGTAGGATTTTAGCTTTAATTTCTTATTTTTAGAGTTCCGTAGTTAAACAACACGGAACCCTTATAGTTTCTCCATGTCCGTCAATCCGCGGTTTTCATGCTGTAATATGGGATAGTTATAGATATTAATCACGCCTACAAAGTTCCAGTAGGTTCTGAAATCTTGAAAAACACACAATGCCCGCCTTCCTCTGCGGCCTCAAGGTTTGTTCAACTTCGCGAGTAGTGTACTGCAGGCATTATAACCAATCACCATATGGCGTCGATTTATGACGTCATCTGCATTGGCCAGTATACTGGGTTCTATTTCGGAACATACCCATTGTTTTAATTGTTCTAAGTGAGTTTCGTAGTGACAGACGATTGTTTTTGTGTGCTTAGATTTCCCCCGCACGCAAAAATAACGGACAGTTTTGTTTCGGGGAAAAACGTTGCTATGAATCTACAGGGTTACTGGAAACTCAACGTATTCCTGACTGGACGTGACAGAGGAGTCAAAATGCAACAAATTTTACCTACATATGTGTAGCGAAATGAAAGTGGTTCCCAACTTTTTTTTTAGATTTTTTAATAAATTACAGAGATTTCTTCATATTTACCAAAATTTAAAAAAAATCTGCCTATTGAATGGTATTTCTATTTACTTTTATTCAAAGCTGACAGTTAGATAAAGCTACAAAGCTCATTAGTATCTGAAATCACTTAACACTTTAAAGTCAAGAGCCAAAAATCAGTTTCAAATTTTTAAATTGTTACAGGTTAGTACTGACTCATATCTCAAAATTTTACTATGGCACTAAGTGTACAAATCACTTAATTATCTTCCTCATTTAATAAGCTATCCAAAAAGGTATGAATGTCAGTAGAAACTTATGAAGTACATAATACAATTCACATTTGACTTAGTGAATAAAGAGTAAAGAAAATCCCTTTTCGTTTACGAGGGTGGATTGAAAAGTACTCGGCCTAACACAGATCCATTCAATTCTAAAAATCAAATCTACTCACATTATTTAGTTCAGTTCAGACTAGTTCATTGTGTGAAGTTCGAAACGTGTGCGATAATTAGTTGTGATTTTATAAATTTATTAACAAAGTAATCGGACATAATTTCCGCGAATGGAGCAAATCGAGCAGCGTGCCGTCATTAAGTACCTCCATAAGAAGGGGCTGTCATCAAAAGCCATCCATGATGACATGGTCACTACATTAGGCGATTGTGCTCTGTCATATTCATCCGTCAAAAAATGGATAGCAGAATTTAAGCGTGGTAGAGAGAGTGTGAAAGATGAACCCCGCTCTGGAAGGCCTTCGACGTCAACTACTGACGAAAATATTAAAAAAAGTACTTGATTTAATAATGAGAGACCGCAGATTAAAAATTAGAGAGATAGCCGAGATTATAGGCATCTCTTATGAACGAACTTAAAACATCATTGTCAACGAGTTGGGTTTCCACAAGGTGTCTGCGAGGTGGGTTCCGCGACTGCTTTCAGTTGAACAAAAAAGGACGCGATTGACTATTTCACGCGAGTGTTTGGAGTTATTTGAAGCCGATGCAGATGATTATTTGAATCGTTTTGTTACTATGGACGAAACATGGGTTCATTACTGTACACCGGAAACAAAATAACAATCAAAACAGTGGAGAAGACCTGGTTCACCACCCCCTAAAAAGGCTAAGCCAATTTGTCGGCAATAAGGTGATGGCTTCAGTATTCTGGGACTCGAAAGGTGTGATTATGATTGATTATCTTGAAAGGGGTCAGACTATAAACTCTGATTACTACTGCACCTTACTACGTCGTTTACGAGAGGAAATAAAAGAAAAACGTCGAGGAATGCTCAGAAGAAAAGTCCTGTTTCATCAAGATAACGCCCGTGTTCAGTCAGTGGCTGAAATTCACAACTGTGGCTTTGAACTGTTACCGCATCCGCCGTATTCACCTGATCTGGCACCATCAGACTTCTTTCTGTTCCCTAACCTAAAAAAGCACTTGGGAGATCAAAGATTTTCGACAAACGACGAGGTCAAAGCAGCTGTAGACGCATATTTTGACTCTAAGGAAGAATCATTTTTTTCAACGGTCTAAATGCTTGGAAAAGGTGGCAAAAGTGTATTGAACTTGATGGTGATTATGTAGAAAAATAAAAATATAACTGATTTAGTATGTGTTTATTTTCTTGGTTAGGCCGAGTACTTTTCAATCCACCCTCGTATCTAGGGTCGTTTTTACCTGCGCTTGACCTCTAAATTCACCGGCGCTCTTTGTGATTGGTCGCTATTGTTCACGTAGGGCATGATCGGGATCCGGGCGTCGCAAAATTGTTATTACCATTAGTTCGTTTCAACTCTACTTCGCGCAAGCAAGTGTTTTGTTCACTGGCTACTTCCCTAATTTTTGCTGAGCATTTCGCCCTGTGTTGTGCTGTTTTGTGTGGAACTGACAATGGCTGCGTATTCTAATCCTGAATACGCTGACATCATGTATTGTTACGGGTTGTGTGATGGTAACGCAGCTGAAGCCCGAAGGGAATACCAACGTCGTTTTCCCAACCGCCGTCTACCACACGTCAGTGTCTTCGGAGCGACTTATCGGCGGATATCTGAAACCGGCAGCGTTAGCAGAAGGCAGAGTGACACTGGTCGTTCACGGAGGTACACAGCTGAGGACGAGAAGGCGATACTGCAACGCTTTATTGACGTAGTACATTTATCGGGCCGACATCCATATCATTATCAACCCGTCCATTCATTGGAAGAGGGAGATCCGGCGAGAAGGCTTGAATTTTGTCGATTTATGCTAAATGCCGATGCCGATGACGAAAATTTTTTAAAAAACATTCTGTGGACGGACGAGTCATGTTTCGACCGTGATGGTATTACAAACTACCACAATTTGCATTACTGGGCACCAAAGGTACATGGAAATCCAAAAAAACTGAAACCGACCGCATCCCGGCGCAGGTTCTCAGTTAATGTATGGATGGGTATCATCAATGATAATTTAATTGGCCCACATTTTTTACCAAGAACTTTAAACGGAGAACTGTATGAAGACTTTTTAAAAATCATTTAGCGGCATTGCTGGCAGATGTCCCTGATGAAAGAATACAGAACATATTTTACCAGCATGACGGATGCCCAGCCCACTTTCGAGTAACAATCCGACAATTGCTCGATGAAAATTACCCGAACCGGTGGATAGGGCGTAGTGGACCGATTCCATGGCCGGCACGAAGCCCCGATCTGACGCCGCTAGATTTTTACATCTGGGGTCACATAAAAGATTTAGTTTATGTGACTCCAGTTAATTCAGAAGAAGAACTCAAGCAGAGAATAATAAATGCGGCGGATCAGATGAGATTAACGATCACATCAAGGATCACAAAATCGGAAATACGAAAGCGAATTCGAACATGCATTCGAAACCGAGGGCAACACATTGAACAAGATGTGCAATTAATTAAAACAATGTACAAAACATTTTGTAATAAGGTGATTTGATTATAATTAAAATTAATAATGTCTGCACTAAGTCAAATGTAAATTTTATTATGTACTCCATGAGTTTGTATTGACATTCATACCTTTTTGGATAGCTTATTAAATGAGGAAAATAATTAAGTGATTTGTACACTTAGTGCCATAGTAAAATTTTGAGATATGAGTCAGTACTAACTTGTTACAATTTAAAAATTTAAAATTTTGAAACTGATTTTTGGCTCTTGACTTTAAAGTGTTAAGTGATTTCAGATAGTAATGAGCTTTGTAGCTTTATCTAACTGTCAGCTTGAATAAAAGTAAATAGTAATACCATTCAATAAGCAGATTTTTTCAATTTTGGTAAATATGAAGAAATCTGTGTAATTTATTAAAAAATCTAAAATAAAAAAATGTTGGGAACCACTTTCATTTTGCTATACATATGTAGGTAAAATTTGTTGCATCTTGACTCCTCTGTCACGTCCAGTCAGGAATACGTCGAGTTTCCAGTAACCCTGTATAAATGTATATACCTACTATGTCCACACGATTACACTATAGTGGTCTAAATCAAGTTATTTTAAAATTATCTTTCTACCTCGCATTCAAGTTCTGATAAATTAAAAAATAATTTTTTGCACATAGGCTTTTTCCGAACTATAGAAAGTAAAAAAAAATATTTACGACACTTATTAGTTATTTATCTATTAAAAATTAATTAAATCTCAAGATTATTTTCAGTGCTAACTTTTGTTGTGAGGGTATACCTAGTCATAACATGATTCTAAAACGGTAGTAAACCAAATTTTTTTAAAATCAAATACTGAGTTATTGGTATTTACATTCCGGAAAGATGGTTTTCACAAAGTTTAATATTCATTAAAGTTACAAAAATCTCTTACAATTAATTATATTTTCGAGTTG